CGTGCGCGCTCCCGGCCGCGCCCCCGCCGGTTCTTATATCCGAGGCGGTAGCGAAGGCGGCGAGTGGAGGTGGCGCATGGACAGCCACGGGATGGTATCGCTTCTCGTGCCGCTGGCGCTTGCGCTGCCCGGCGTCTGCGGAGACTCCGCGACCGGTGAGGAGGAGCCGGGGGTCGGGGGGACTGGGGAGCCGGGAGCCAGGGAGCCGGGGTCGGGGAACGAGCAGGGTGGGGCCACCGGTTCGTAGGGTCTTGACCTGAAGGCCCTGGCATGGCAGCCCCCGACCCGGAGGGCGCAGGCGGTGAGCAGCAGCTCCCGACCCGGACGGCCTTTTGGGCAGGGGCGGCGCTGGAGTTGAGAGGATGGCTCTGGAGAGTTCCTGGGGGTGGCAGCAGTGCTTGGGAGTGAAGTCCCAGAGGTTTCCGAGGGCCCTGCGGGTTCCCAAGCAGAGCTGTTCCTCAGGTATCACTGAGGTGCCTCTTTCTTGGTGTCCGTAAGTGTGAAGCCCTGGGCTTGCTGGTGGGTGGGGGTCTCTGGCCGAGGTGGAGGGTCGAGGAACTAACCTGACCCCTCGGAGAGGGCACACGGAGGCGGCCCACCTGCCCTTCCCCGCGGCCAGCGGGAGGGAGGCCCCAAGTCTGGGTCCTTGGATTTTACCTTTGGACTGGAGCCAGGGGTCAGAGGCCTGTCTAGTGCCTGCTCAACCCACCCTCCCGTGGACTGGGTCCTGCAGTGCCTGGGGAGGAGACCCGAGGGAGGGACCACGAGGGGTGGCACGCCCTGCCTGCGGGGTGTCAGTCAGGGCAAGAGACTTTCCCCCAACCCCAGGACTCCCTGGGGCACTGCATGGTTGGTCCTGCCAGAAGAATGGGCCGTTGTCCTCCAGTGGGCGCTGGGACCAAGTGTGTGTAAACAGCCCTTGAAAGTGTCAACACTGGGGCCTGGACCGGTTTATCATTCTTCTCGGGATTTAGCCCCAGCGTCTTGCCCCAGTATGCACCTGCCCCGTGTTCCCTCCACAACCCGAAGCCCGTGTTAGGCTCCAGTGAAGCCTAACACTGGAACTCCCAGAGTTTGAAGCATGGGCCTCTGGGTCTCAGTGCTGTGCACAGGACTGGGCCATTTTTTGAGGGTGGGCACTCGTGGTGTAGAGACTGCTCATGGGAAAATGGATTGGGGTAAGCAAGACAGCCTGTCTTCTGCTTGATAGAAATTTTTTTCTTTTATTGAGACCCTAATTTGGTTCTAGGTTAAAAATTCATAGGGACAGACACATAGGGAGCCATGTGTAGAAGCAGAGGTCCGGGGGCTCTTGGAGAGGTGGGAGCAGCCTGAGTCTGGTCAGCTGTCCTGAGCAGGGAACCGCAGGGCCAGGGAGGGGCTGCCTCTTGTAGGAGCTTCACCATGTCCATCTCGTCTTCCTTGTAATCAGAATGGCCTTTTGTTGAATGCCTCTTGGTCAGGGAGTACGGTAGTAAGGCAGCTCTCTGGAAGACACAGAGCCTCGGCGAGGTGAGGGCAGGACGTGAGCTGCTGCAGGAAGAACTGGACTCCTCTGGGTTTCAGGCCCAGCACAGGCTCCCCATGCTGAGTTCGTTTGGATGGACTAGTAGGTAAAGGATGTTGGTCTTCCCCTGCCAGCTGTCACACGCAGTTGGTGGTTCTGTTCCATTTGCAGCAGGGACGGAGAAGAGTTTCTGCTGAGCACAAACCTGAGCACTCAGGTAAATGATCTTTGGATCTTCCCTGGGTTTGACCACCAGAGCTCCAGCCCAGGAAGCCACTGGGGTCTGTGCCATGTGTTGGGGGCCATCCATGCACAGTCCCACCGTGCAGCAAGGTGTGACTGTGGTGAGGGTGTCTGAGTCAGGCTGGGCATGTCTTTGAGTTTTGTTTTCTGTTTTTACTCTTAACAGCTCCACTTTTCAAAGGACTCTTGCAAAGATCTGAAAGGCTGAGTCACCCATGGGTGAGACCATGGGTGCACGCGGGGGGCCTGTGCCCATGGGCGCAGCTGAGGGGGGGGAGCTGGCCCGTTGGTGCAGCTGGTGGACACTCTTGTTTTCTCTGAGGGTACTACTGACCATGTTTTCCCATCCTGGCCAGGGCAGCTCTCAAAAACTGTGATGTGGGGATGTCTGCTGGGGCAAGTCCCCCCCAGGTTTGCTAACTGAGGTCCTAAGGGCCTGTGGGGACTGGGCCCATGGGTGCAGTTGGAGGTGGACTGGGTGCAAAGGTGCAGTTGGGTAGGGCTGGGCTTGTGGGTGCAGTTGTGGGGCTTGGTTCGTGGGTGCACTTTCGGGGGGCCTGGACCCATGGGTCCACTTTTGGAGTTATGGGTCCATGGGTACAGTTTGGTAGGGGCTGGGCCTGTGTGTGCGGTTGGGTTGGGGCTGTGCCTGTGGGGACAGTTTTCTGAGGAGTGGGCTGGTGGTTGCAGTTGGGGGTGGCTGGGCTGGTGGTAGTGCTTTGGTGGGGGCTGGGCCCATGGTAGTGTTTTGGGGGGGGCAGGGCCTATGTGTGTGCTTTGAGGGGGACTGGACATGTGAGTACAGTTGGGGCGGCTGGTTCTGCGGGTGCAGTTGTGGGGGGCTGGACCTGCGGGTGCACCTTTGTGAGGGCTGGGCATGTGGGTAGAGTTAGGTGGGAGCTAGGCCCTTGCGTGCACTCAGGTTGAGCTTGGGTGCATGGATATGCTTTGGGGGGTGCTGGCCCTATGATGCTGTTGGGTGAGGCAGAGCCCATGGGTGCATATAGGTAGGGCCTGGGCCTGTGGGTGCAATTGGGTGGGGGGTGGCAGCCGTGAATGCAGTTGAGTGGAGCTGGGCCCATGGGGGCAGTTGGGCAGTTCTGGACACTCTGGTGCAGTTGGTGGGCCTAGGCCAGCGGGTACAGTTGAGTGGGGGCTGGGCTTGTGGGTGCAGATGGAGTGGGGCTGGGTTCGTGGGTACACTTTAGGGGGCCTGGACCCATGGGTTCATGTTCAGAGGTATATGTTCATGGATACAGTTTGATGGGGGCTGGGCCTGTGAGTACAGTTGTGTGGGGCTGGGCCAATAAGTTCACTTTTTGGGGTGCCGGGCCCATGGGTGCAGTTGGCGGGGACTAGGCTCCTGGCTACACTTCTGTGGGGGCTTGGCCTGTGGGTGCAGTTGGGTGGGGGCGAGGGCTGAGCATGCACTTGGGTGGGGGTTGGGCATGCGGGTGTGGTTTGGGGGCACTGGCCCTGTGGATGCCATTGGTTGGGGCAGGGCCCATGGGTGCACTTTTTGGGGTGCTGGGCCCATGGGTGCAGTTGGTGGGGACTAGGCTCCTGGCTGCAGTTCTTGGGGAGCTTGGCCTGTGGGTGCAGCTGGGTGGGAGCTGGATCCGAGGGTATACTGTTGGGTGCGGGGCTCCTGGGTGTACTCCTAGGGGTCTGGACCCTTGGGTTCCTTGGACAGGTGCTGGGCCCATGTGCTTTTGGGGGAGGGCTGTGGCAGAGGGCCGGGTGTGTGGGTGCAGTTGGGGATGAGCTGGGCCTGTGGGTGTGGTCAGGGGCCAGCTGGACCCGTGCGTGTACTTTGGTGGTGGCTGGACCTGTGCATGCAGTTGGGTGGGGGCTGGGCCTGTGGGTGCAGTTTGTGGGCCTGGGCCAGTGGGTGCAGTTGGTTGGGCCTGGGCTTGTGGGTGCAGTTAGGTGGGGGCTGGGCATGTGGGAGATTGTCTTGCATTATGTGTGGACCTGTTTCTGAGAGAGGAGGAGGGCCCTGGGAAGGTTTCTATTCAGTCATCCTGCGTCCTTCTGCATGCCCTTTGCATGCTGGGCATCATGCAGCAGTGAACAGATGAGGCAGAAATCCCTCTCCTGGGTTAGCTTGGGTCCCAGGGAGTGGCTTGGCCCCGGAAGTGCCCATCTCTGGGAGGGTGAGCAGATGCCCACACCTGCCTTGGTCTACACTGTTGCTTGGCCTAAACTGGGTCAGGCAGCCAGGCCGTTTGCACACCCACTGGGAGTAACTCAGGCCACCCTGTACCCTCATACTCTCTCACTGCCCTTCATGCGAGTCATGTGTCTGGGAAGGGGAAAGACTCACCCCACCCCCATGCCCTGAGAGCCCCTGCCCCATCAGCTGCTGAGGGACCAAATGCCATCTTTGCTATGGTGCTTGCCTGCCTGACATGTCAGCAGACAGCTGTGAATGCCCTTGAACATCTGGAGTGACCAAAAGGGACTGCAATGCCCCAAGCTCTGCCAAATGTCTGTCCTCTCCTCTTCTCTGGTGCACTGTGGGGCTCATGGATTCACATGACCAAATAGTTCTTTTCACACTAGAAAAACTGTCCTGGGCTAAATTACAGATGTGGACTGCCAGCAGGGCCTCCCTTCTGTGGAGTGATGGGGCCAGCCACTCCAGGCCTCACGATCTTTTCTGAACAGTGCCTCAGTCCAATCTGGTCCAATTTTGACATTAGCCTCCAAACTCTATTCCCAAGCACCTAGGCAAGATGCCGACAGCAGGCCTCCCTGCAAGGTGGGTTATCTCAGGGGCCTGCACCTGTCTAGGGACAGTCCGGTCTCCAGGACTCAGTTTCCCCATTTGTAAAATAAGAGCTGCGATTGTAATCCCACACTCTACACCCACTATAAAACCAGGGGCTCTTGGATGCCAGGGTGGTGGTGCTGTTAGCCGGCCATACCTATGCAAGATGATAGGAAATCAAGTAAGACCATAAGAGATTAAGAAGAGACCAACTTGCCAGGGAGACTCAAGGTGATATTCAGGGGGCTAAAGTCATCTTGTGCTTTTTGAAAGAGAGAGAGAGAGAGGAAAAGAGAAAAAGAAAAAAATGTCCCCAGGAGCTCGTGTGTGAAAGCCCTCCCAAGTCTCTCTGCAGACTGCCTTTCTAGTGTCATCTCTGAAACTCTGCCCCGCACCATTCCGCGATTGTAATCCCACACTCTACACCCACTATAAAACCAGGGGCTCTTGGATGCCAGGGTGGTGGTGCTGTTAGCCGGCCATACCTATGCAAGATGATAGGAAATCAAGTAAGACCATAAGAGATTAAGAAGAGACCAACTTGCCAGGGAGACTCAAGGTGATATTCAGGGGGCTAAAGTCATCTTGTGCTTTTTGAAAGAGAGAGAGAGAGAGGAAAAGAGAAAAAGAAA